ATCTGTCTGGAATACTGTTCTGTTCATTTTTTGGTTCTTGACTAATTAACTTCTTTCTCTATGAAATGCAATAGTACATTCTGTTTCTACATTTCAAAGAAGTTCATATATAAAAATACATATGAATGTGTACCTGTCCAGATATCTGTGTAGCTATAGGAGCCTAGTTATTCTAGGAGATCTGATTGTACTCAGTAATGTGTGCAGCTTACACTGTGGGTGAAATCCACATGTTTTTTGTTGACCTGTAAGTACAACTAATACATATCTCACCTAACACATTTTAACTGACCAGTCCTTTCTCGATTGTATTCAATTTTCAAATTTCCTATCTGCATTTACTGATTAAAGTTATATTTGTAGAAAGGGACTATATTATAGTTAATTACTTAGAGGTTTGATTTTTTTTCCCCTTTTGTATGTTGTTATTTTTTCTGGAAAATCACAGAATAATTTAGATTGGAAGTGACCTCCAGATGTCTTGCCTGGGGACTTACTTTGTTGCTGAATGTTGGGCATGAAGAGAACTCTTTGACAGTTATTTCTTAAATGGGAGGGACACATGAACATTGTTCACTCTTCTACACTTTTCATGGTTCTCTTTTGGTGTTCTTCTAAGCTATTTGGGTAAATCAGTTTAGATTCGAGATTTTGTTTCAGTTTCCATTGGAGTTAATTTATTTGCATTTACTTAGTTTTCTGCTGAAGGTACAATAGTGTAACTTTTAAGCAAGACTCTCATTGTTCATCCAGAGAAATTACTGAAATATATTTGTACCAAAGAATATAATTAATTTTAATACTGTAATTTTTATCTTAACATAGATGGGTGTTGGATCTGTATTTTTCTTCATTTTGAAAAGAATAGTTTCATTATGTAGCCTGAGTTGGAATTTGTTTCTTCTCTAGTAGGAATTTGTTTCTCTCTTCCCACTACCCCTTGAAAATGCCAGGAGGGATTTAATCTCATGTAATTGAAGCGCTTCACAAGAATCAATGAAGTAATGTTTAAAGCACTGATATAGTTACTTACAATTGAGCTGTTACAAGAAGATGACTGCCATCAGTTTGAAACTTCAGTTCAAACTTATAGAGTTAAGTGTGCACCAAAGCTGTGTTTCTATTCAGTCTGATTTTATGTAAATCTGTATGGAGCTTTGTGGTTTGTGGTTTTGTTTTTTTTTTTTTTTTAACTGAAAAAAACAGTATATGTTCAAAAGTGGACTATGACTTCCTCATTGGGCTATGCTAGGTCAAGTTCAAGTTGTACCTATTAAGGTCAGTCTTTAGAGTTGACCATACTCACTTTCACAGGGCTAAAAATCTCACTGCAATAATTTTGCACAGCTCTACTGGTGACTGTTACATAATTAAGATTTATTTGTGTCTACTAGAATGAAGTTATGCTGAAGATTGGGAAATCGGAAACAAATTTAGCTGAGGCATTGAATTTATAGAGGGCCTTGAAAGACCATGTTTGTAGCAAGATTTGTAAAATCCACGCTGCTGTAAATAATGTCAGCCTGCTATCAGAAACAGGCTGATGTTCTGCCTTAAACCCTACTCCTTAACCTATGCAGCTATGTTCTTTGTGGAGATGTGTAGCAGTAGCTGATGTCCTGCCCATCCTTATTTTCTCTAGCACTAACATTCGAAATCCCTCTTTCCCCAGGGTGAACAAACTTGAGTGTCTGTAATTTGGTTTGATTTATTTTGTTGCCAGCTTAAGAAGAATTATAATATTAATTAAAAACAGTACACAGAATGCTGAAGGTTGTATTTTGCCATGTGAAAATTGTAGCTTCTTATTAAGAAATGTAGGAAATAAAAAATCCTAACAGGATAAACTTTAGCTGTGTAGGCCTTCATAGTGAATCAAATATCCAACATGATATGCATATCATATTTGCACTACTCATCTGAACTTCATGGAAATATTAACAAATGATATCAAGCACGTGAATATGTCAGTTTAATGGAAGCAGTGGATAACAGTAACATATTTAAGTAAACCAGGTTTTGCACCTGCTTTCTAAAATAACACAATCCGTACGTGTCCGTCTGGTCTTTCAGAATTAAAACTTTAAAGTTTTAATCTTCTACTGACAAAAACCACATTGTTATTCTTTTGGGACATTTTCTTTTGTCTTTCTTTGCTGAAAGTTCACGACACATTTTCCTCCTCTCTTTTCCACATTGAAATGACATTTAACTTAAGGGGTTTTCCACCTGAATTCCCCCTGTATATTACCAGTAGGCTGTGTTGAATATCCGAATTTCCATTTTGTGGGAAACTTCCTTGGATTTCCTGAAGTTTAAAAGAAAAAAAAAAAAAAGCTATATATATAGGTGTTTGTCTATACCTGCTCTTTTCCTTTAATCAGCAATAGGACATATGTATGCATTACTGAACTATATGGGTGCCTTAGGGACCAAAGTACAACAGTTTTGAACTACTCCTCTCTCTTCAGATGCCTTTGTACTATATTTTATTTGCAGCCTGCTCTGTTATCATCTCCTCCAGTGGTGGAACCCAGGGCTGTAGGACTATAAGTACACTTGATTTCAAAGATGGCACTCAGCTTTGTCACCAGTGTGTCTGCACTTATTTCTTGCCCAGACAATATTACTCCTTTGGCATATGTTGTCAAGAACAGGGTTTTCTCAGAGAGTCTGCCATTTGATTACCTTGCAAGCATATGTATTTAAGTATAATTACAGTAGTTTATTCTAGTAGAGTTCTATGTGCTGTTAACTATGATATCCAGAAGCACTACATAATGTTTTAGTATTTAATATGTTATTTAAATTTATGCATTTTGTGTTGTCAAAGAAAGAGAAAGTTTATTTTCAGTTACGCTAAGAGTGATATTAGTGGTTCTGTGATGTGGTGGTAAAATTATTAACATTTAAGATGTGAGAGGTCTAGCTAAGGCATCTATCCTAACTAAAAGAACATTCAACTGAAAGCTAACATTCTGTGATTGTTTCCAACTCACCACTTCTGAGTTAAGGTAATACTGTGTGTGCCACTCCTACAGGCTCTACCGAGAGCCCTATCTCTATATTGTCATGTTATTTACTGTTTGATTCAAGCTCCTTAAGGAGTCCATCCCTCCAGGGATGGATACCTGGCTTTGCTAACATTGAAATTATTACTTTTCCTACACCTCTTTCTTTTTCTTTGAAACAGAATATAGAATGGGTCTCTGTGATCACTTGGCAGAGAGCAGGGGAGCAGAGGGGGAGATGCTGTTCCAATGTTGTCTCACTGTGATCAGAGTTAATAAAGTTTCTGCCTGACATGTCCTAAATTTTACTTGCATTATTATGCGCTTGTTCCCAGATTCTCCAGCCATGACCTACTTGCAGAGATGTAGGCTTTTCTCAGACTTTGTGGAAAGCTTGAAGAACTCCCACTTTTGGCTTCTGAATTTCCCATCTCCAGAGTCTCTTGATTTTATTTTCCAAAACTTTCAGTGCCTGAGAAATGTACTCAATTTGCTTAATTTTTGACATTGTGTAATTTTTGCATTTCACATTCTTCTCCTTCAAAATACTCTTTTACCATGGACTTAGAGCCAATTGAAAGCTGGATATTTTGTCCCTGAAAATTCATGCTGCTAGATACAGTTTGTTAGAAATGCTAGGGTCATTCACAAGTGAATTCTTCCAGAAGTTTTCAATATATTGCTCAATATGCTGTAGTTGTTTGTCTCCAAAAGCAAACACTGTAAATGATAAGGTTTGAGGTGGAGAAAGAGAAGTAATGGCATTCGTTTTTATAAGTCTCTTTTTTCCCCTGAAATGAAAAAAGCACATTCTTGGGTTTGTTGAAACACAAATCAGAAAGTTTTGCATAGTATACTCTGAAAGCATTTTCTCCTTGTTTAAATAGGCTTTCACCCTATTATTTTTATTAATTATAGAGTCTACTTGCTATTAATATGGTCTCCATTAAAAGACAGGTACAAAAAATTACCTATATTAAATCTGGATGAGTAGTCTTTCATTATTTCCTGGTAAATAAAAATTAAAGAGCTGTGGTTTCAATAATTAAGCAGCAGTGGTTATTTTAGATAGCTCAGTTCTTCTTGATAAAATGTATAGTGTTTTGTGCCATTTTTATCTAAAGAACACATGGATGTGCACTGTCAAGGTGAAGGAATGCAGAGTGGTTTAAAATGCACTCTGACTACACAGCATATACAGGCATTCAAATATGTACATGTATTGGCACATAAACACCAAGCATATGACCCGCTCCACTGAACAATAGAATTCATGTCATAGCTGTTGAATGTTAAATATGGAAATAATTGGAATTAACTCATGCAGCGAAGCTGTAGTAATGCAGACTAGGTGTTACAGTGTTGGCATAGATCTGTTGAAGTAGAGAGACAGCTCAGAAATGAGGATAAATTGTTTCTGCTTTGCAGTGCTCCATTTCACTGTTGTCTTGTATGTCTCTGCCCATTGCTCCCTTCTCTGAATGGATGTTTTAGTGCTGCAGTTGTACACCGAGAAACTAAAATCTCTATTTGATGCTTGAGATAAATACTGTAAAAACAGCAACAGCACTTTTTCCTATGATGCAAGGTCTCTCAGCAGAGCTGACCTCAGATGCTGTGGTGATGCAGCCCAACTCTGCTGGGGAGGGAAGGTCAGCCTTTCTCTGTGCTCCTAACTGCTTAACTTAATAAGACGCATACCAAAGTGGCTAAATAGCATCAAATGTGATTGTGGTTATTTCTCCTGTAGTCGTAGGTACAGTGAATCATGGGGATGGCCAGCTTCACCTCTGATTAAGACACTGAAAAACCATCAGCAGCAAAACTGTATTTCTAAGGAGAAAAAGCTTGTAAGGTGATTATGGATAGAATCTGCCACAGCTAATAATCAGTATGCCTGAAGCACGTATCTCAAGCATGGGCTTAGGTAGCTCTGAAGTTTATATTTCTGTGTTGCCTGTATTTCTAACTAATTCCTGTTGGTTGCAGGCAGTGGAATGGCAATGTGATGAAGCTACTAAAAGAGCCTGTTACAGTAAAGGCAAATCAAAGGTAAGCATGAGACAGCTGTTCTGTTTTAATAAAATTTATATGTTAATAGCAGGTGTAATTCAATGTATAAATCACTACCTTATACATTTTTACAGTCTCCTTTTCTGAAGAGACTTGTAGGAAAAGTGTCTGACACTGATATATATAAGCAAAGGAATAAAAAACAATGTAAGGATTGTGGGATGAGAGGCAAAATCCTCGATTTGTTTCCCTGTGTATTAGATGCAATTTCTGAAACATTTCTATTTCATATCTACTGGCACAATGAAGACAATATTATGAAATTCACTAACTTTTTAGACTTAGGACTTGATATATTGTTAGTATTCACAACCAATTCCTTATCTGGCCAACTACAATTTCTTTTATTCAGCACAGGTAAATGCAATGCTAAGATGGAACCTGTATGAATGCCATGTTCTTTATTGGCTGTCCTAAGCTGAAGCTAGTTATCAAATTAATTATGAAAGCAGTTACAAATGCATGCAGTCTATATCTGTAATTGTTATACTGTTTAATTATTAAAGTTAGTTGAGTTAAAACTTAAAGGGAAAACACATCAAGAGCAATGACTACAGAAGAGCACATTTGCTTTCAGGACCTGTGTTCAGTAGAACCTGTCAATGTATGTTATTTATGTGCAAAACTCAAAAAACCCAAGCTTCAAAAACATATTCTAAATGTTTCTACCATCTAGAAGGGGAGGAGAGAGGAGTCTTTTCTGCATAGTCATCTAATCACTGACTTTTTAACTTCTTCTATTAAACAATTCATTTCCAGCTTTTTTTACTAAGTGCTGGAAAATAATGTTGCAGTGTACTCTTAGCTTACCCATTTCTGTTTGAGATTAAAGAGGAAGAACAGCCTCGGTTCAGAAGCAGGGCCGTGTTACGCTGTGAGGAGAGAAAAAGACAGAATTACTTGTGGGGTGTGGTGGGGGGGGAAACTGTAGTGAATGTGCACTGTAAAGCTTCACAAATGGAAGATTATTGTCTTTATGGAGGAACATCTTTCACTGTAGAAATTAGTTTACAGTAGTGGGAAAAGGCATTAAGAGTGGTGTTGCCTTCTTTGTCCTTCTCCTTTGCCTTTTTTTCCTTTCCAGTGTGGGAAACCTGTATTTAAGAGTTCCTGGTCGCTCACTATTAATGTGCAGGATTTGTTAAGTATATAGAATATATTAATAGCTAGAGAAAAGAAATGGATTATATTTTACTTAAAAATTTCTAACTTGAGGAGACAAACTGGTGACTCAAGTTACGTGTGAAGGCTTTAATGGCAGAAATAGCATCTAACAAGTGTTCTGATCTACAGTGTTACTTGTCAGTTTGTGGAGAGAAAAGAAAGAACCTCTGGGACATCATACTTATAAACAAATGTTTCATTTTGAAAGTTGTAATTTCGCCCTGTGAGATTTATACTTCTTCATGTAATATATCCCTGAAGCCTTCATACTTAGTTTTCAGATGACAATACTCTGAAGTAAGAGAGCATGCTCAAGTGACAATAGAATATGACAGCTTGCATTGATCAAGGTGCATATACAGTTGAAACTATCATGGTAGGAATGCAATGTATAACTAAAAGTTTATGCTTCTGGTTTACAGTGATTTTTCAAGTTTAAAACTGTAGAATAACATTCAACTTGTCTGAAAGTCACAGTGCAGTGACTGTGATCTAACATGATGGATGAAAGTAATGGTAGTATACTTTTGAATATTACATTTACAATACTGTTTGTGGTGTAAGATCCACATACAATTCAACAATGCAGAAGCATGAGTTGCTACTAAATAATTTTGCTAAGAGAACTACTCAACAGTGGTGAAATGCATATGAGAAGGACCTTAGTGCAGTACATATGTGCAGATTTTCATGCATCCTCACCACACTCTTTTGAAGAAGCTGGTGATTGGAAATTATGCTGTCACTGTAAAATAGTATATATGCTATTTTAATAATGACCTCTGAGATTGTTTCTTAGTATTGTTGTTAGTTGGATAAAAATTTAGTGGTTCATTTGTATCCATAGCCTTGCTCCTCACATTCTAGAAGAGAAATACAATCCTTATATTTCTTTATGTTCAAAGGTAATCTTCGGAGGAAATAGTTCTTTTTTTATTGTTACTATAGGGCTTTTTTTTTTTTGCTGTGCAGATTCTGTGGCCTGAAAGCTTCATTTAGGAGTTGCTGGAGAATGCAGAGGTACTGACTGAGGCAATCTACCCAGCTGGAATGACAACTGTCTTTTTGAACTTTTTATGCCTCTCTTGCTTTCACTGGTGTGATCAAGGTTAAAATAAATGGATAAATCTAGGGCCAGAGGAAGGATAGCCTAATGATGTTTGTCTTTTGTTGCCTTATGTCCAAGACTAAAACCTCTGTTTAAGGAGGACTTACGCATGCAGATGAGGAAAGTACCTGATCTGTGGTGTGTTCCTCTTCCTAGTCAAGTAACAAAAGCCTTCCCTTAGAAAAAAATGAGAATTATCAGAACAGGAAGAATTCACTCCCTCCACTGCTACAGTGACTTTTTTTCTCTTCAGAGGAAATTCCCTGGGAGACACAATTCCAGTTACTGTTATCAGAAAGACTGCTTGCTTGCTTGTTGTTGTATGAATAGATTTAGCCCAAACTGGAGAGTTGCTGGGGGTTGCATTTCTACAACATTTCTCAGGGCAACTTCAGATTTCAGGGCAGACACATGTGACTGTGGGGAAAGAACAGGAAAGACTGGAGACAAAATATACAAGGCCAGCCCAGACTGTGGCAAAGGAGAGATGAGGATTACAAGGATGGCTGTGGGTAAGTTATTCATTCAAATCCTGGTTTCTCTTGAAGCTCTGCTGCCCACAGAGTAGCATGGGGGCAAGGAGTTCAGGCAGCAAAACTAGAAGTCAGTTTGCTGAAGCAGTACCTTGAAACCAGAGCTAGCTTTGAACCCTGAAGCAGCTCTAGTAGTTTTGAGATAATGGTCAGTTAAACACATATCTTTTTTGTTGTTGTTGTTCTTGAGAAGAAACTGCACAGAATTTTTGCCTCTAGCTGTTAGCAGTAGTTGTCCTGAGGTTTATGCTTTTGGAGCCAATGAGGGAAAAGAGCTGAAGGGGAAAATATATAGGGACATCTGTCACATTTGACAGTGTAATGCACACTTGACTTTTGAAGGCTGATGTTTGTCACTGAGACTTCAGACATTTATCCACCAATTTAAACTGCTGCTTAAAATATCTTGTGGTTCCAGAATTGAGCCCGACAAAATGATGTCCTTGAGGCCAGCATGTGTTAGCATTTAGAAGTCTAAGACACCACACATGATTAAAAGAATAAATTTGGCCACTCAGACTGGCATTTGTGGTAAGGACTGTTCTAAAGGAAAAACATAAATACACATGGTAAAAATACAATATACCAAAGAGATTAAAAATATTTATATATAATTGAAGTCTGTTATCCCTTGCTTATTTAAAATTCTAATAGCTGTGTGTGTTAGCATCTGAACTTTCAATAAAAGTATTGAAAAATTAAACACAGATGTGTTTAAATTGTTAGGCTATACAAGAAACATTACTGCAAAAGGATAACTATATGCAGCCAAATTGTCCTTGAAGTGTCAACTTGGTCTTAACGTTAAGTACAAACTTAGTCGCTTGGCTGCTGAATTGTTTCTGATAGTTCTATTTTGTTTCAGGTATGCTGATATAAAAGTAGAAACTACTTACTAAATGAATTTCTTTCTTTCAGAGATACATTTATAGGAGAATAGGAAAGTATATAGCATAGAGTTCAAGATGAAACGGAGAATAAGACTATGTAAAAGATGGCCACTGAAACTACCACCACCCTCCAAACTAAAAATAAAACAACTTTGGTTTTGGAGTCCTTTACATTCACCAGTGCCACTTCTACAACATATATCTCTTTTTGCATATCCAAAAAGTGAATCAGCTGAGCTTGACTCCAGAGCTAGAAAAATTACTCTGAACAATTCAAATGACGGAGTTCTTTTTCAATATGTTTTTGGGTGGTGATTGTTTTATTAACGACTAATTTCTTTAAATTTGTTTTGAATTATTGTGGATTTGTCATATGAAGAAAATAGCCAACTCTTCTTTCAGTTTTGATTTGTTTGTACTTTGTACTAAAGAAAAATTTGATATGAGATATCTTATTTGCCTTGCTGCAGTATGGATTGTTGTGAAGTTGGCACAGGACTTGAGAACATTAAAGAGAAGAATCTTGTGAATCCCAGGAATGTCAGTGTTTAAAAAATTAACATTATTTTTGAACAGAAAGAGTGAGTGATAAGCGTGCAAGTATTTTGACAATGGCACAATTTCAGAGAGCTTTGGAATATGAAGATGAGAGGTAGGATGGGTTGTAATGTCACTACCCACTCATTTTTCCTACAGTTACATTCCATGGCTTGCTGCAAAGGGCAGGATGGAAACAGCCTGAAGAATATATTACTGTGTTATATTCTATGAACCAGCACCCTTCCCACACACACAAAAAAAGAGGCATTGCCACTTTTTTTCTTTTTCTTTTTTTTTTTTTTTTTGGCTGTATAGTGAAAAAAACCTGCAACAGTGAAATGGCCTAGAAGTGAAATAATTACTTTTTAAAAGGCCTGTTGCACTGCTCAGCTCTGTTATATGATTGCATATTAGCATCTGTTTGGTTGAGAAAATATTAAGATGACAGCTTTGGTAAGCTCAAGATAAAGATGTTTTATTTTTACTCAATGGGAATCAAATCTTAATTCTAAGATGTTTGACACTTTAAAGGCTCAAAGACAAGCATCTGAAAGCTACATTTTCATGAGAGGTTAATGCAAATGTAGCGTTGGGGGATATTTTTTCAAAGTGGGTTTTTTTCTGAGATTTTATGAGGTAGGGGGTGGGGTTATTTTGTATGAGAAAAGGTATAGATAAATTCTGAGAGTTTTCTCTGAGATCTTGAAAGTATTTTGCCCATCTTCCTTTGCAATCTATTTTGTGCCTCTTCAATTTATTCAGGATTATATTTCTTGTCTTCTGGAATGAGAGTCTATTTATCAAGATAAACAAGCAATATATTTAATATAACTGTAGGCCACATAATGGGACTTCTGCACCATTACTATTACATGGTTTTACTTACATGATTTCACTTAGTATCTGTTAGAATTACATAGCTGTATTTTCACAAGTTTTTTCTAACACTTTACTTGAGACTATCAAGTGTGAATGAATGCTAGAGACCATTCAAGTGGAAGGTTCCAGGAAACTTTATTTTCTCCAAGCATATTGTTGTTTTTGTTCATTTTATTAGATAATGACATTTATTTTTGCAGGAGGAGTGTCTGAATCTTTCCTACATACATTTCTGGAAGATTTTTAGTATTGCAGAAAAAGGCTTTCTATCCGAATAAACAATAGAAATTGCTGTTGGTTTCTAGCTTCTGAAGTGAGGGAAATTAACATAATAAAGCCTTAATACATCCTAATGGGGCAAAAAACATGTATAATTATTCCTCAGGGGGGAGCAGCTATGTATTGAGGTAATGAAATTCCTTGAGAAACTTCAAATTAACAGAAACGTAGATGCTTCTGATAAAATATTGTGCACATTATGAAACTAGTAATGACAAATTTGCATCTGAACATCTCAAGAATTTTATTTGTACTGGTTTCAAGGTAGTTGTGTTACTGACAACCTGTTCTTTCTCATGTTTTCCTCCCAACTTACTCCCTTGGCCTGATCTGTCTTCAAAAACAGCATCTCATCTGCTGAGACAGCAGTGTATTATTTAAGTTGTCATCTATCACTTCAGAGTTTAGCTAAGCTTTTGAAATATACACTTAGAAGAAATCTTCAGTACTGAAGAGGTTTGTTGTTATCCTGTTAAGAACTTCTCACAAGGACTGATGGATGCATGTGTTGTAGCTAGGAGATCTATGTGTATATATCATGATTGCTAACACATGAGGTACACTCAAGACTTGTTGCCCCTAAATTTTTATGTATGGACACATAACCATGGAAAGCAAATTGTAATTAATCTCCCCTATCCTTTGAAGTATCACTGAATATAGTCTTTCTTTTCTGTGTGGCAGGAGGAATGCCAGAACTACATTCGAGTGCTTCTTGTTGGAGGCAACCATCTCTTTACCTGTGGAACCAATGCATTCACTCCTATCTGCACCAATCGGACGGTATGAGTTAAATGCTTTGTCCCACCAGCTCAAGTCTCTGTTCTGAGCCAGCAGATTAAAAGGCAGAGCATGCTGTGGTTGAGTCCAGGCTATTTGCATATTGATGGATGAGCTGATGTGTAAAAGGCTGCTTTTTCTAGTGGCAGGCCAAAGAGAAGAGCTAACTGATGATCTCTTTTTGCAGTCTTTTCCTCAGCTATGGGAGAGAGCACAACTATGAGCAGCTCAGTTTGTCCCACATGCCAGTTTTCATGAGTCTTAGGTATTTGTAAGACTTCTGACACTCTGTCAGGTTTGGTTGGCATCAACTGGTTTAGTTATAAGATGTAGTTGGGTGGCTGCATAATGTGTATGTGTAGTTCTGGAGAAGATGAGGGTACCTGTATTAGTGACTTCTGACTGTCAAGAATGAGAAAACTTGGTTGAGAAGATCTGTCATTCTGTTTCTGAAAATAAAAAACAACAACCCTGGTTGTGATATATGTGTATCAGAGAAAAGAGAGTCCATTAAGGTTCAATAATAGTTGTAATAAAAATAAAAATGTCACTGTTTAGATTAAACTGGCTATTTATTTCAGGAGGGGACAGGTGTTTAAATACAAAGAATAGCTGTATCACCAAAGAACTTCTTCATTTGTTATATTTAAACCTGTTGTTCTTTTATTGTCAAATAACATATTAACATCACGCTGTGGTTTATGGCTGAAGGTATTAGGGCTACTTAATCAGAGAGATTGTTCTGATGAGCTAGAAAGCTCTTTTTTTGGTCTAATTTTTCATGTGAGATTGTTTCTTAGAACACACCAAAAAAACAAATAGATTTTTTTTTTTCATTGTCTGACCATTTGCTGCAGTGAGTACCCTAGCTGATTCTGGCAATCACATCTTTTTTTCTTTTTCTTTTTCATAATAACAATCCATGTAGAGAGAATTAATTTCTGAGTTGCTTATAATATAAAACATTTTAGGCATGGTGGCTAATAATTAACTTGTGTGTTTTACCTACTAAAGTGACAGAAATGAGATCAGACATTACAGTAAAAATTTCTATATGAGACAGTTTCTGATTGATGTAAAGGTCAGCTCATTACTCTTGTACAATACCAAAGCAGATAACTGGTGTTTATGATAGGATTTTGCTCAGATTAATGCAGTTTGACTGAAATGATAATTTTCAAGTTATTTTAATCCCTTGTTCTCACTCTTTTGCAGTTAAGTAACTTAACAGAAATACATGATCAAATCAGTGGCATGGCTCGTTGTCCTTACAGTCCTCAGCACAACTCCACTGCTCTCCTCACTTCCAGTGGGGAATTATATGCTGCTACAGCCATGGATTTTCCAGGAAGGGATCCTGCTATTTATCGCAGTTTGGGGGCCCTTCCTCCTCTCCGCACTGCCCAGTACAACTCCAAATGGCTGAATGGTGAGTGCTGATGTACCATGAGACTCATCTTTTTTTAACCCATGTTCTCCATATTCATGGTCTTGAAATTCCATTCTGAGAATCTGAATGTTTTTTGAGTATTATTTACCTCATACTAAAATTATTTTGCATAATACATTTTTTTTATTTTACTAGTATAAGTATTATGGCATTTAATTAATAGAGTTGAAATTTGTAGATGTTCGCTTATATAATATTTTACATCATGTTTGCAGGCATAGGGATGAGCTGTGTTGTATCTCTCAGGCGTGCTTACATGCAACAGCTGAGTCAGCCAAGAGCAGTAGCTTGCTTGAGCATTCTTTTGTTGGGTCTTTCAAAAACCTAAGACAGAAAATAAACAGTTTAGAATGGACTGAATTCTCTTGGCTTTCCCTGCAGGTCCCAGCCTTGACAAGCACAAAAAGTTGTGCTTTCAATCTTCTTAGATGGCAGACTGATGTTTTTTATACTTATTATAGCAAAAGGATCAGGACTAGTCTGCAAAACATATAATAAAAAAATGTTGTAGCAGTGACTCCTGTGTCATGGATGTTAATCATCTGATGAGGATGTCCAGCTGGGGGAAACTGTAAACAGGTATTCCTTGAGATGTAACAGGGACAGTTGCCATTTTATGTATTACAAAAAGAACCAGATTAGTCTAAAATGAAAATTATTATTTAATGTAAAATGTGAAATTATGTGTATTATAATTTGCCCATGCTTGTCTCATCAGAATGAAAACATATTTTCATAACTCATGCTATGTGACACAACAGTCATTATTCCCACAGTGCATTTCATGTTATGATGGGATTATTCTCATGTTTGAAATTAAGTACAAATGTAAATCCTTACAGCTTCAGAACATAAGGTCAGCTGCAAGTGACAGACTTTATTTTGAATATTTCAGTTCTCATAGAATCTGAATGCTGAATTTTCTGTATTTACTTGGTGTATTTTCCTTGTACAAAGAAGCCATCAGTGGTAGCTTGGAGAAATTTGTGACCTTCTCTGAAGGTTAGCCAATTTTAGAATATTAATTAACAAAACAAAACCAAACTGCATGGCACATAACAGAATTCTAGCACTGCAAAAGAAATGTAAGAGGGAAAATGAAGTCATATAGATAACACTGTTCAGGCACCTTTTGTCCACACAGCCATGGTATTGGAACTAATTGCTGTGTCACACCTGGGTTCTTCTGTCAAAGGGAAAAAATTCTTCACACTGAATTTTCAGTTTAGCAGGATGTGTTTTATGCCAAAGGGCACACTGCAGTTCGCCCCTAGATTCATCTAATTAATCAGATTCACTGTATTTACATTTTGTCTATTTAAAACTTCAGCTGCATCTATACATTCCCTGTTAGAGCTTATTCTTCTGCCTCAAAACTGTTTGGAGTTAGGTTGCTAGGAAAGCGTGACTTTTATCTGTGGAGAGGAAGAACAAGATGCGTTTTGTAATTGGAACCAGTTCAAGCAAATCCAATAAAAGGCTGGAAGCAGCTTGGTTACCTACGTGAAAGGGAGGAGAAATGTCTTCTGGGGTAGCTAAGAGTTGGAGATTCATCTGCTTGAGTTGGGAATTCATCTACTTTTATGTCAATTTGCCTGCTCGTATGTAACTCAGTGGCAAGAAACTGCATTAGTTTTTTGGTGCTTGGATGGAAGTGAAGATTTTGCTGCTTTCAGTGAGAAGGTAACGCAGATAATCCTGCAAGAAAAGTAAGGCATCAACTGGAATGGAAGCATCCTAGTCAATATCTGTTCAGCAGCAGTAGCTGACAGTTACTGTGATTCAGCCGTGTTTTAGGTGTGCATGGGAATGGTTCCAATTTAAAGTAAGTTTTTATTTTATATCCATGTTTCCCTCAGAGTTGCGATGTTTTTTCTCACTTAGATTTTCTACTTTGCAAATCGTGTTGGACCAATTCGAACCATCTCTGGGGGCGATGGCAGTACTCTAAAACACAGCCAATTATCTTTCTTTGTGTGTTACTGCTATGCAGTAGACATTGTTGATTTTAATGGCTAGCACACTTAGTGCATTCAGGGATTTTCAGTGCTGTCAGTCAGGCCAAAGGGACATGCCCATATGTTTAGACAGTCTGCTGTCAGTGTTCACTTGTGGTGAAGGACCTTGACATGGGAAACTCTGAATCTTCATCACAGAACAACCCTTGTTCCTAATCTTAACTGTCAGAAGGTCTGTAATCACAGGAACCATGACACACAGTGTGGGAGGAGAAAATGAAGCTGATGTGTCATGTGGCTGGGGTAAGATTCCATGTTACCGTGCTGTGATTTCAGCTTCTGGAACCACAGATATTACAAATAAGATAAATTTAAGTTGATGACCTAAGCTTCCCTATTCATTCTGGTTCAGCCAGAGTCCTGTATTTATTACCATGTTCTGCCTTCTACTGGGGGCTTGATAGGTCTGGAAGCAATCTACATCAGCTGAATAGGTAAGTTAACAGTTATTTTCAGCATATATTACTAAGCATCATTCTGATCATGTACTTAACCTTAGTAGAGTATGGAGAAGTCAGTGAACTTTCATTTCTGAAATGAACTACCATTTTCTTGATGTACTCAACACTCAGTTATCTGGGGTGATGAAGAGTTGGGATGGCTTGGTTAAAAATATAGATGATTCAGTATATGTGTAAAAGTAAGCTACAAGAATATACTGTGAGAGTTTAACTGAAAGGAAAAAGGAAAGTCCAATGACCCCCTGGTATGTGAAGCACAAAGATCATCAGCAAGCACTAATCCAAAAATGTAGATGGACAACACAGCAACACTGCTAACACAGAAATTCTGTTGTTGCCTTGAGCTGGTTATTGTGGAGCCATCTTAGAGGATCTCTGAATATGATGTTTGTTTACTCACTAGACAACCTGCTGACAATATTTGAGACTTGACTCCCTGAATTTTGTCTGCTTGGCAGTTTTTAATGACAGACAGAACAGTTGGCCCCATGTTACAGATATCTGCCCACGTCCTGAAAGTTTTTCCTATTTTGGAAATTTTAGAGTGTAAACAGTCATGTCTTCTTCAGTGATGGAGGAAAGAAGCACCTTGGAGGCAGTTTGTGAACTTGCTTTCTTTTAACATTAAGAGTAATGATCTATTCAGCTCTTGATTAACTCTGTATAAGATTGCCAGTTACAGTTTTTTTTACCTCAGAACTTCCCTCCTTTCTACCAAAAGAAATTAATGCTTTGCTTATGGAGGCTATTTCCTTCTTCCTGGTGCTCCCATAGACAACATTAAATGCAGCTGGCCCAAATGCAGTGAGCAGATTTTTGACCACAGTCATCACCATGCAGACATTCTGCTCATCCCCATGAGGAGATGCCGTTGAAGGACCAGACTACCTTCGTGGTGCAACCTGAGTATTCACCATAGTTCAACAGTTCTACAGGCTGGGTTGCTCACAAAGAATTAATCAGCTGATAGTGAAGACACAGACCTTGTGTTATTCTCACCTTTCTTGCTAAACCTGTCAGTACTCTGTAACTGTCACTATTGTCAATCAAGAGGAATGTGATCACCCAGACAAGTTAACAACTGCTGCAAACCAGTGCTCTTCCCATCCAACAGCCCAGCTGGCTGCAGGATAGTAAACCTGAAAACATGAAGCAGAATCCACCCCTCCCTCTGATGATGTCATGTTTTGGCCTTCTCTTTTCTCATGTACAGAAAAAAGTAATGCTTGAAGTTAGAAAGTGAATATATATATATATATATTTATATATATGCACAAATGACAAAGGTAGAAAAGCTGCTTACCAGTAGTTTATTCTTTAAGGCGTGTTGTTCTGCTGCCTACCCTCCTTTCTCTTTCTTGCTGATTCTGTGTTCAAGTACTTCTGTACTTGAGAGAAACAGTTTGAGGCAATACAGCACACATTGAGGATTATGTCTAAAGTGGACAGCTCTTCCATTAATTTCCTCTCCTGACTAAAGCAATCAGCAAGACCTTGAGCTTCACCAAACTGCTCAGGTCAGTAAAGGGCAGCATGTTACCAGAATATTTTTAAATTACCTTTGTATTATTTTATATAAAGAATAGTCTGCCTTAGCAGTCTGCTTTGGACATTATTAAATGATAGCAATAAATAAAGTCTTTTATTAAGAAAAAAAAAAAAAACAACAACAAACCACCTTGATTTACAGCTGGCATGCTGTTTATTTGAGTCTCTTTAAGCTCTCAGCGCAGCACAGAGTTTAAATCATATCCAGAGTTGAGTGTTATAATGTGCTTCTAATTAGACTTTGCTTTAGAGTTGATCTGCAAAGTGCAGCAGGGGCAGGATTCATTATCGTTTGCTCTAGAGGATAGAGGTAAATGGAATAGTTGTATTTGTAGTCCATAAACTGCAGTGGGTCCAGGTTGTTGAGGAAAAGGCTCCACTGCTTAGACTTATAAACTTTTTCAGCAGTCCAACGTTTCTGCCAAGTCCATCTCTAAACCATGTCCCTGAGCACCACATCTACACATCTTATAACTGACTTCAGGGGTGGTAACTCAACCACTTCCCTGGGCAGCCTGTTCCAATGCTTGACAACCCTTTGGGTGAAGGAATTTTTCCTAATACCCAATCTAACTTTTGCTGGCACACCTTGAGACTGTTTTTTCTTGTCCCATTGTTTGCTAGTTGGGAGGAGAGATCGACACCCACCTCACTGCACCCCCCTTTCAGTTAGTTGTAGAGAGTGATAAGGTCTCCCCTCAGCCTCCTTTTCTCCAGGCTGAACAACCCCACTTCCCTCAGCTGCTCCTCATAGGACTTGTTCTCTAGACCCTTCAGCAGCTTCACTGCCCTTCTTTGCACACGCTCCAGCACCTCCATCTCCTTGTAGTGAGGGACCCAAAACTGAACACACCAGGTGTGGCCTCACCAGTGCTGAGTACAGGAGGACAGTGACTTCCCTAGTCCTGCTAACTGCACTATTTCTGATACAGGCCAGGATGCTGTTGGCCAC